ATAATGTTTATTATGGATTTTTATCGTTTTTTCGAAAAACGGTAGTTTGGGTCAGGATGAAAGTAAAAAAGTCAAAAGCAACCAGATATTTGTCACCAGCATCAAAGTCTTCATCAAATGCCGTATTTTTCATTAGACTTTAACGAAAACAATTTTTCAACTTTTTCGACCCGAGAAAAATAAACGTTGAAGTTTCAATTAACCAAATATACTCCATTTTGTTCCAAATTTGTGCATACTTATGAATAGACGCAGTACAAAATGCTTCCTGCAAAAGTCAGATACTAATGAAATGCCATAGCACAGTTTTTCTAGAAAATAGATGTAAATATTAAATAAAACTATGCTCTATATGGATGTGTTCGATGAAACATGGTGAATTCTAACAACAGATGTCGTTTTTTATTGCGAAAATTAGTAACAGAAGTGAGCAAAATCCATTATAATCGAGTTTGCTATAGCATTTTATCGAAAAATAGAGATGATTTTTAAATGTGCTATTATATTGGTTGGTAGACATCTACCATTTGTACGAAGGTCATAAGTTGAATGAGTACTTCGTATCTGATCGATCCTTGTTTGACGATGTATTTCATTACTATATTTTACAAAAAGTTCGCTCTAAGAAAGATTTCGTGTATCCAGGACATTCAATGCTGCTCAGGAATAGAAATACTTCCTTTTCAATGGTGTAGACTTAGCTTTGTTCATTTTTAAGTTTGAACTCTCCCCATGTATGAATGACCGATGGCTGACCATGCTGAACTGTTGTATAGTATTTCAATTTATTCAAAGAAAGTTTGAGTTCATTAAAAATTTAAAAAAAAATATTTCATCTAACAGTCATTATTCCTCGTTTAGCAATTGTATCAGCTATAAGTATTTCTTTTTTAGCTCGAATCGTACAATCACCAACATAAGGTACAGTTTCTGGATGTTCAATATGATATTGTTGTTGTGCTTGAGTTTTTGACCATTGATCTTGAAGATCGAGTAATTTCAATTCTTTAAGACGATTCTCTGATGTACGAATTAAATTTTGATTATTAGTTTTCGTTGAACGTTGTGTTTGAGGTATTGTTTCATGATAAGATATATCTTTAAATGAACGTTGATATGTTGTATGTGTATCAGTTTTTGGTTCAATAAATCGAGCAACAACTTCTGGACCGGGTAAACGTAAATTTATTTTAACTGAACGTGGAAGTTGACCAGGAATTGAAAGATATGGTTCCAAAGACTTTGTTTGTTGTTGACATAAATTATTCATTGCTGTATTTTGTTCATTTTTAAATGGTGAATCATAAACACGAGCTGTTGATCGTCGTGAATAACCATCTGTATGTTCATTAATATATTTAGTCTTATATAATTCATCATAATGTGATGGACGAAGAACTGGACTAACAAGAATATCATTAGTTTTTTCTTGATTATTATTATTATTATTAACTGATTGATTTTGAATCGTTTTTATTGGATAACTATTTAAACTGCGTACTTGTTCAAGATTAGTATTATATGTTGTACTCATTAAACAAGTTGGATCAGTACGTGCATGAGGTAATAGAGCATTTTCTTGAAGAAACTTTTTAGTATTATATGCTTGACCATAGATTGATTCACGTTGAACAAATTGTTTATTACCTTCTTGTGTACGAGTATTAACAGTAGCAGCATCATTTGGAGCATGTAATTTGTTGAGAAGACGATTCTGAATAAATAAGAATAAAAAATATTTTGAAATTTGTTTTGTTTTGTTTTGTTATACCAATTACATGACATATTCATTTGATTTTAATCTCATCGAAATATCTCAAATTTTAATAGAGTCGAAAGAATCAATAAGAAAAAAATCTTTTTCTTTTATATTACACTATTCTGAATGTTTGTTTTAGAATATTGAATTTATTTGAATAATTCTCCTGCATAATGTAATATGTGTAAATCAAGTATGCACAGTATACATAAAGTTCGAATATGAGAATAATTTTTAAGTTCTGTCAATGTTCTCCGAACAAAGCCGGACGAGATACTTAAGTGATTTTTAGTTTAACGCTATGAAACTACATTTTTAAGTGCTCATTGTCAAAAACTAACTCAATTAAATGAATATTCTCTTGTTTTTCTTCTTTGTATCAGTGGAATAGATAAATAAACTAACCCGCATATTTTGATAATCACCGATTGCTCTACATTGAAACAATATTGGCTTAGCTCTTCGTTGAGTTTGTTCACCTGTATTCAATACATCATTGACATCATATTCATTGTTTACTGTTGTTTTATATCCTTGATCATTTTCAAGTTCTGGTATAGCTTGAACAAGTGAATTTGGTTCATAATTTTGAGTATGATAAAGACCTGATCGTTCTTGAACATATGTACCCATTTGATCATATAATGTATTGACATAATCATCACGATATTGAGGTAATATAGGTCGAGCATGTCGTGAATGTTGAAGAGTTCGAAGTTTAACATTAAATAAATTAATATTTTCTGTTGGACGGATAACTTCTAATTGTTGAAGACGATTTTCTGCATCCATTTGTTGATGACTTGCATAATGATCACGAGCTAATTGATTACCCGTTGTTGATGGTCGAAGAGAATGAAGAAAACGAATTTCGCAAGGTTTAACTTGATTATCATTTAACGTTTCCTGTTGAGCTGCAAATAAAAAAATGATGAAAATCAAACAAAAAAAAAGAAAATTTTACTTACGAATCCAGGTTGGTGCTTGATCAGTTGAATAAAGATGTTCAGGAAGATTCACATAGTTCGTTCCATTTCGCATATGATCATCAAGTTTTTCATTTTCACTCATTATTCTAAACAATAAACAACAAACAAAAATGTTGAACTTTTTCATATACTTACTTGATTGTTTCCATTGGTGCATAGTACATTGGTGGTTGTTGTCGTTCAAGAGCATTTGGTTGCCGATGATTCTCATTACTATAAATAGCTTGCGTACCTTCCATTGGTCTTGCCAATTCGAATGTCTTGTTTAAATGAGGTTTCTATATATTGAATGAATTAAAAAAAAACAATTTTCTTTTTTTCTTTTCTTCTAAAAAAAAATAACCAACTAGTTGTTCATTTGGTGAAAGTATTGTTGTTGTTGTTGTTGTATTGTTTATAGCATGAGAACTTAATCCTTCTTCATTTGAATAATAATTTTGATAAGTGCCTTCAAGTGATTTTTTTTCTTTATGTTTAACTGTGTTAGTTGTTGAACTTTGGATTGAATTCTTATTATTTGGTGCAAACATTTTACGTGGCCAAGGGTAAATTGGTAACGATTCGATGTTACTTAATGATCGTTGTAACTAAGAGTGTTAAAAGAATTTACAAAAAAAACAAAATTATTTGAAGATATTACTTGCATATAATGTTTATCTGGCCATTTCGCAGTTCGATAGTGTTCTTGCTGCAATCCGTAGTAATGCACTTCACGACGAAATGGATTACCTATTTAAAGACAAACATTGACAAGGTGTGCTGCACAACAGTAACAATAACAAAAACTAACACAAGCAAACGATTGTGTCGTAGTTAGAATAATAGCAATTTTTTTTCTAATCAACGACCAAAGCAAATAAAAAAGTAGAGCGCGAGACGGAGAGAGAGAGAGAGAGAGAAGAAAGACGACTTGATCGTGTTTCCAATTATTTTGTTAAAGAGAAAAAGAACTGCACACTTGGCATTTTTTATTCATTATTTTTTTATTTACCTCGAATTTTATGTGTTACTATATAAGGATCGGTACATGTTGAAGGACGATCATTTAAATCAATGCTTGCTGTCGGAAATATAGATTTTTCGCTTATATGTGATGTAAATGGATGATTTGATGGAAATTCTAATGGTATTTCATGAGACGTGATATCAGTTGTATGAAGTGGCGCAGGTACTCTAAATAGTTATACTGTAATTAAATCAACAATACTCAGATTAACAAAAAGTATTTGAATGAGTAATTATGGTTCATCTAAGTGCAAGCAATATTTTTCAAGAGGTTTCTTAGAATACTTTACTAAAGAAACATGAGGAAACGTAAATAAATTTGCGTAACGTTTTCAGAAACTGATAGAAGATCGCTCCGTGAGCTGAATTTCTCTTAGTTTAGCATGTCAAAATTTCATTATGATAATGCTCAAGAAATGTTTTTTTTTCTATCTTTCGTCAATCAAAAAATTTTTCCACACGTACGCTATAACCAAGATGATGATAAATATTTATTATAATACACGACTTTTATCTTAAAATTTCATAACTAAATCATATTATGAGTAAATAATCAACTTACAATTCGTCATTTATTCGTACATTACTTAATGTTGTATCTGTATTCTGGTATGTTTGTGAAATTGGTTCACCTCTATAATAATTAATTAAAACCAAAATTTCTTTAACGATTCAATATATATCTTACGTGTAAAGAAAAGTACCAGATACAGAAGAAGGTCGCGATTTGTTGGCTTGATTACGCGGTTTTCCTGTACCCCAATCAATAGCAGATTTCGTACGATCTATCTTCTTAGAACGATCCGATTTAAATAATACTAAACTCGTCATCTCGAAAGAAATGCGTATTCTTAACGCTTAAAAAAAATTCAATCAAATGCTGTTTTTGTTCACCATAAAATCACATTTACAAGTAGCAAAAAAATAGTTGCATTATTCAATAATAAAAAAAACGACAGTAGACATCCAATAAGTGCATCGAAGTAACCAATGTTTTCTTTTACTGATGTTTACAATATTCAATGGTATCATAGGAGAAATTTTATTTAAGATAAAAAAGATACAGCAAAAAAACAAAACTCCTTGCTTTATATATATATATTCTCTATATAGATGAAACAAGAGAGACTAGATAAAAGGTTTTTATGTGATAGTTCATGTTAGAATATAAGAAAAACAAATATACATACAAATACACAAACTAATTAACTCAAGAAATATCACAGGTATTTTTCTTATTATAGTAATTATGAAAATGAAGGTGTCCTCGCTATTTCTTTCATATAAACAGAATCATCAAGTATTGATATATAAGCTTTTTCAGCATCAGCATCTTCTTCTTTCATTTGTTCATGTAAGGCAACTAAACGATACCATGTTATAACATCTGGATCACCTATATTCATTGATAGTGAACATGCATCAATACCATCTTTATCCTTTAATAACGGATCAGCACCACGTTTAATTAAAAGAATAATTGGTCTAGAAATTCAATTATTAAAATTCAAGATATCAAATATTTATCATATATATATATATATATACCCTCGGCCTTTAGTTGCTAATTGTGTTGCATAATGGAGTGGTGTTTTTCCATCTTGATCAGCTAAATTAACTTTTGCATTATTTGTTAAAAGAAATTCAGCAGCTCCAACTGATCTCTAGAAAAAAGCCATACAAAAATAAACAAAAGAAAAAAAAGTAATTTTCATTTAATATCAATAGTCAATATAACATACACTTAATATTGTTTGTATTAATGGTGTTCGTCCATGATCATTTTCATTCATAAAATTCTTATCTGCACCCAATGCTAAGGCATGAAGCATTATTATAACATTATGTTGACGACCTCCTTCATATAAATATATATTCATATTCCATATTGATGGTTGATTATCTTGATTAACTGTATCATGATCAGATGATGCTGTTGTTTTTCTAGACGATATGAGAATAAAGTAAATAAAAACATATAAGAAAATAAAATACAAACTTTGGTAAGAATAGACGATGAAGTGGTTTTGATTTATCATTATCATTATTATTAGATATTGAACTTTTCATGATAGGCAATTGTTTCAGAGAACGAGTAAACGAACGCATTTCACTAGCTGCTGGTAATGGACGTAAAAAGGCTTTTTGAACATATTTTGCTTCAATAAATGCTCGACGTGTAACACTAGAAAAAAGTTTTCATTTGTAATTAGTCAAGATAAGATAATAAATATTGATATTTCCAAATACAAAAATATTTTATAGAAATTACAGATTGACAAATGTTCTATCAGAAAAGTTGAACACTCATAAAATCCCATATTCTATTAAAATAGACAAGAATTCTAGGTCACGTGAAATTTTTTTTCATTGTATCATAGATGTGCATCACGCCTAATGATAATCGTAAATTTTTTTTCTCATATTTGTTGTGCTATAGGCAAGATATAACTAGCATATATATACATATGATAGGTTGTTTATGTCCATTTTAATTTATTTTGTTGTTCAATTTGCGAAGTTTAAATTGAAGGCAAATTTAAAAATTATACTCATCACAATGAAATTCACCAAGTTTCGAGTTAACTTGATCTTTTATCAAGATAATTTTTGATCAATATTAATTACGATTTAATTAATAAATTTAACAAATGAGTATCAAAATGAGATAATAAATCTAATAGAATCTCATTGTAATGAATCTATCAGCGATTAAACTCTTTCTCTTAGCTTTTCAACGTTTAATGTACATTCTTTTATAAAACACCATTTAAAAAGAGTATTGAAGTATATAGTAACAGCTGATATGATTAAAGTGAGATCGCCCAGTAGACATATTACCAGAGAGATACGTACGGGAGGTACAAATCTCTACAATAAGTACAAATGAAAAATCCTCATTTCTTTGTTTCTCTTGTAATAATCATACCACAAAAAATATGATATATGATCTTGCCTTTTGAATTGAGATGACATAAAGTACATAATCTTTTCTTGCAAAAGTCATATGTTCATAGAAAAAAATCTAAATATTCTAGTTCTCTTTGACACTTACGCATCAGTTTCAGCATTAGGTTTTTGCATTCCATCTGATATACGTGCTTCATAAATTTCATTAACAAGTGAATTACCCAATTCAGACATAACAAGTAATGTTTCTAAATCCCATGTATCCATATGAAGTGAACGAACTTTTGAAAGATTGACACCGAGACCTCTGATTATATAAAGATGACAAAGAAAAATAATACAATATCTTACAAATAGAATTTAACTAACCGATGAGCACCACCACAATTTAAACAAAGTAAAATTCCCAAATTAATCGATGCCCATTCTGGTCCATCAGCATTACAATCACAACATTTTTCATTACCCGGAAGAGAACGTACATATTCAATTTTATCTTTAATCCTAAATATAATTCATAACTAAAAACTAAATAAAGAAAAATTTTTTATATATACATTTTTTGTTTGAATTCAATTTTTTCTGTTAAAGCTGTGTTTGATGAAGAATCATCTTTTGATTTTGGTTTTGGTGAAGACTAAAAGAAAATAAACATATTTTCCTTAATATTATCAATTTAAAAACAAAAGAACAAACTGAAGCTGAATTTTGAACATTATCATTTGATGATTTAAATGAATTTTTTATTGCTAATTGCAAGGAATTAATCCATTGATCACATTGAACTTGAGAATCAGCTTGAAGTAAATGGGAACTAGAATGAAAGGTTTTCAATAAAAAAATAATAATAAAAATGTTTTTTACCTATTTGGTGAAAGTATTTCAAAAACAAATCGACGATCAATATCATTAATTGAACGAATCGTACATAAACGTAAATCAGGTACCATTACTGATTGTTGTTGGGAATTATCATTTGTTGAATTTCCATTATTACGTTTCATATAAAGTAGTTGACCGTTTCGAATTAAAAACCAACGTCTAAAATGAAGTTTATTAATGAAACTGAATAGTCTTCCAAGAAGTAAAAATGAGTACAATAAAATCTTCCTATTATGGACATTCTTCGAAATTTTCGGAAGTGCTCACGATAGGAAAGGTACATCTTTCCCAAAAGTAAAACTGTTCAAAGAAATACATACAGTTTCTAAACACCTGAAAAGTGTTAATGAATGATACAGTTGATTCAAGTTTATCGATACTTCTCTTTTCATATATTTTACTATTTATTTCAAAATATAATGCACGCCACTAGTTTTTAAATAATTTTTGACAGGAACATCAGAGAGATCTACGATTTTCACCATTCCAGAGAGAAGATCCGGAACCATCGCAATATATCAAAATTTGATTGGTCAGTAATTGATCGATCAAGTGAATTCTGGATGAAGACTTTTCCTGAGATCTCTGATTTAAGCCAATTGGCCTGTAATCATCTGGAAGAGCGGCTAAGCGAGGCGAATTCACCATACTGAGTCGAACGGTTATAGTTATTTTTTAGTTCGAAATAATCTTACTCTGTTATCTCAATATTTTCGAATTGTTAACATCTTTATAAGATGAAGGCTGATTGTGAAATTTCAGAAATATTGACATAACAGGGTCAGATTATTTCGAACTAAAAAATAACTATAACCGCTCGACTCAGTATGGTGAATTCACCTCGCTTAGCTGCTCTGCCAGATGATCACAGATCAATTGGATGATCTCGGAAAAAGCTTATAACTCTCGAATGGAACAAGCTAGGAATATCAACCTTGGGCAAATCGATATTGCAAAAGAAATTGATTCAAAAAATAAATGTTATGAGCCTAGAAATTATATCTTATAAGAGAGTAAGTTTTTTTTTGGATTACCCTGTATCTTCAAAAGATCAACAATTTTTTGAAGTAATCTTTAAGAGATCTCTATTTTATCCTTTTTGGAATTCAGATAAATGTCAGTTAATTGCAATATGAGATCGGAGTCACATATTCAGACAATGTTTTTGTAGTGAAACTTAGGAAAATTAGCTCTAAAAAATATTCAGAAAAACCTATAAGAATTGCAGTACAGCAAACGCACCAAGTCTCGACAGTCTCAACATTTATCCGAATTGTTTTTTTTTTGTCGATTTCACTCGTCATATAATTAGGAAAAGCATTTATGCATATTATCTGATTATTGAGAAAATCGATTTTTTCAATATGACAGCAAAAAGAAACCATAAAAACTGGCTCGTAGTCCGAGATTTTCAGGATCAGAACTTGAGTTTCCAAAAGAAACGAATATCAGATTCAGAATTCGCACAATAATGTGCATCGAATAATATACTGAACACTTAAAACTAAATTTGTTCGACTTTCGAATTGCCGGCACCTCACAAAAAAAATGAAATATACTTTTTAAATAAAATATGTGATTTAATAGAGCAGAAAATTCTCTATCAAATAAGCCTTGAACAGTGTTTTCAGTGTGTTAAGAAGTGTACTAAACAGTAGAGAACATTTCGTCCTGTTTATTATGCACATCTGTCAAATCTCATGTTCAATTTAAATAAATTTCAATAACAAACCTGCTCCATGTTTTGAATTTATTATGCGAACGTTTGAATAGATAACCTTAAAAAGGCAATATTAACTACTAATGAATAAAATATTTCTCAATTAACCTTCTTTAGTTGGTTCAACACCTGCTATTGATGTATTAGGAGTATTGGATAAACTTTGTTGAGGTGGATTTCGAGATAAATCTTCTTTTGGCTAAATTTTAAAAAAATATAAAAAATATTTCTAAAACAGAAAGAAAAGGAATAAATTTACCACAGATAACTGATTTTCATTTGATATTTCGGTAGTTTTATTATCATCAAGATTACACTAAAATTAAATTTAAAATATATATATATATACATATAAATTTTTGTAACCAATAAAAATGAAAAAGAATCCGAGCTGAGCTGAGTAGTAGAAGCATGAGCTTAAAAGTTAGTTGTCAATCAAAAAAAAAAAAAGAAAATGTCCAATCCCAAAAGAATGGTCAATAGCCATCAAATCACCTGGCGAGAATGGTGATCACGATGACGAAATAATGATTTGCCTTTCATAGACAATTGATATGATGAAAACAATGAAGAATGTTTTATGTTATCTGTTGATGGGGAAGTTGGAGATGGTTCGGTTGATGATGATCGAGACTATAAGATTAGATTAGAATATCAACGAGTTAAATTCGATATTTTCTTTTCGAAAAATATCTTTTTCTTTGCTTCACAATTGCTTTCGATAATCATTAAAAATAAGATGATGATTCAAGTAAACAAAAGTCAATGAAGCGTAAAGAAAAAAAATCGATAATTATATGCATATTTGATTTATTACTCATCAATATTAACTTACTTTTCTTTGATTTGTATCATGAATTTTTTCTAAACTTTTTTGTTTTTGAACATTATCTTGTCGCATTTTTGTTAACTAAAAATTAAATCTTAAAATATTGAAAATGATTAATTTTTCAAATAATTATACTTGTGATGTAATTATATTAAAATCTCGTTCAGTATCTATTGATAATAATTCATGTCCTTGATGAAAAAATGCTTTATGAATATTAATATACGATAGTAACAGTTCTACTAATTCAATTTTATGTTGATTAAATAAGACATTAATTTGATACGTATAATCTATTGATGTATGACCAAAACAACTACGTGTTGCTATTAAAATTTTACTTGCATCTTCACACACATGAGCTAAAGAACAAAACAAATACATTTATAAATCATATTTTATAAAGAAGTAAAAAAAAAAAATAACAAAAACATTCATGTTTAATATGTATAACAATTATTCAGTCAGAAATATGTTGAGAGAAGTTCGATGATATATATCAAGAGATGCGAATCGTAATATATTGAATGACGTATTTAAAATGCTTGTTTTTTTTTATTCAATGAATATTTGAAAAAATAATGAAGATTTAACACGAAACATCGAACGCATGTATTGAGAAAGAAAAGTGATTGGTTTTTTTTTACAACGATGAATATTTTACCTGTTCGTTTTGAATATCCGATGAATGAAACAGGTGAGTATCACATAGGGGTGTAGCTCGGGAAGGTGGTGCACGTACTGTCTGTGCACCACCTTTGGCCACAAAACACGTAAAGGGGTACAGATAAAAACCCTTTTTGCGAAACAAAAAATTATTTTCTTACTAATATGCACTTTCCATAATAAATCGGGTATCCCCTTGGAAAATTCCTGACTACACCTCCAGTATAACATAGCTATTTCTGTACAGTTCTATATGTTGATCTACTCTGCATGGTAGAATAGAACAAATAATTATTTATAGATCTGTTCTGTGCTCATCTCTGAAATAAAAGCGCATCATTCTAGTTGACTGATTCAATAACTAAAATATTTATTTATGTAAACAGAACAAATATGATTAATTGAAAGAAAACGATAATCAAAACTTTGAAAAGAGATTATTGATTAAGAAAATATTTTATCTTGTTTAATACGATTGAAAAAATTGATAATCCTCTTTTCTCTAAAATAAACATTTTTTAAAGATGAACGTTCATGCAATTGCAAATAAGAAAAGTAACTAACAAAAATCTATAGATCAAAAGACTATTAAAAAAAAACTATCAGGCTTCATCTTAATAGACTTAAAGCATGTTCTTTATTTCTATCGTAAATATACCTTCTTACGTCACAAATGCATATGAATATAATATTATCTTTTACTCTTGCACAGAAATTCTATCAAGTAAAGCATAAATATATAAACATTTTGTCCAAGTCTTTTTTTTTCTACTTCTCATTATCCTCAATTCCATTTCCAGCCAAGGTCTGCTAATAGAAATGACCTTATTCAACCTTTGTCAAGGATCCTTTTCTATACCATAATCAAACATTTATACATAGAAAGTCTACTTACGTTTAGTTTTTGATGCATCAGCATTCTTTTGTGAGGCTAAAAAGAAATTGAAAATCAATTAAAAATAATTAATTTTTGAATCATATTTACCAATATCATAATCAGAACTTAAACGTTCAAATAATTTTCCTTGATCTTTAACTTTTTTAATATCTTCTTTTAACATTCGTGTTAATGTTCTTAGGACACTATTTGTTGTTTGTTCGAATAAACTCTATTATGAAAAACAAAATCATATAAATAAAAACAATGAAAGTTTCTTTTTTATTTTATTTTATTTTTATTTACGGAAAAAAGTGCTTGTATTTCACTTAAATATTCACCAAATTTTGCTAAACTTCTATAAGTCACATCATCGGGAGAAAATAATTCACGAACATCATAAATGCATTTAAGAAATTTTCTAAAATAATATTTCATTTAAAAAAAACAATATCTTTTTTTTTTTGTGTTTTTTTTTAAATATTCTTACTGAAATTCTTGTACAAATGTTTTCCCATTATTAATGACAGAATTACAAGATTTCGACATCTGATATCAACAAATAACTTAATATGATTTATGATCAATTTTTTTAGTTTTTACCTGTTCTAAACGATCTTCTAACATATCGATATGATTTGTTGCTTGTCGAAGTTGATTTCTGATAAGAAAAGATTGCATAATAAGAGAAACATACAGCTTTTTATATATCGAATATTTTCTCCTCGAAAGGAAAAGGAAAAGAAAAAGAAAACATACCGATAAGCAGGAGAATCTTTGAGACATTCTTCAAAGTCGATTTCGTTCATAATAATCATTTGACTAAATAGAAAATAACGAAATACGATCTATGGTATTAAAACAAAAGATAAGATTTTAGTGAATAGAACGAAAATGAGTTTCGTTTTACTCCTTTTTTTTTTTTTAAAAAAAAAGAGAAGAAAGAAAACTAAATCGATCTCATTGTAATCGACACATCTTGATATCTATTGTGATGATATAGTCAAGGATGGTTGTTTCTTTTTTTTTTTCTTTCTTCGCTTATATAATCAAGTAGATATTTAGTTCGAGGGTATAATTGTCACATTTGCTAATGTTTGCCGATAGCTAGTCTATTGGTTTGTTTCTTTATATTTGCACATCGTATAGAAATCTATCTATGTTTAGTGAAAAAGAAAAATAAATTGTTATAGATGAACAACAGAAGAATAACATATGTTTATTATAAAAGAGAACTTGACCTATTGTTAGCATCGATTACACGGAAGCTACTTACTCAATTGATTTGTATTGGTTGGTTCAATTGGTAACTCGTCTTTACACCGACATAATGTAAAAACAAAACAAACAGAGATATAATCTAGAGAAACAGATGGTAAAGTACATAGGATATTTTATATCTATCGTCTTTATCACAATTACTATATAAACATTGATACATTATACAACTTCATCATCTCAATAATCGCTCATATATCTTTCATAATCTATAGAAAAAGAAAATAGGAAATACTCAAGTTCATGCTGTTAATAAATAACCTTTTACTTGATATTTATGCACAAAATATAGTTAAGTGTATGATAACGACTATTTTTTAATTTAACAGTAAAAACAACACTACTCATTTGATAATTGAGAAGGAGAATAAGTCAAAAAGAAATTATCTTATTTCTTATTTTAAAAAATTTATTGAAAGATACATATATACTACTTTTCCTCTTCATCAAATAGTAAACTCCACACAAGTAATATATTCATTATTCTTGGCGTCAAAATCTAATGCATGTCAATATTTTTTGAATATCTCGAGAATACCAGTAGCTAGAAACCTACAGTTTTCACCAGATATTTTTGAAAAACAAACTTTCTCAACTAATAATATGTTCCCATTTAGCGAATCGATAGTGAAGGCATCTTCTAGCTTATTACATTCAGGAGCTAAAAACCTTGAAATCAATTAATTAACTACTAGTCATTCTAAACTGTATTGAATTTGATGTATTCGTCTAAGCTCAGTTCAATGACGATATTTGTTTTTAGTTTCAACATGATTGTAAGTTGCTAAATCATGATTTTTGCAATTTAGTCTATATAAAACTTTTAATGTTAGATGGGATATTTTCAAGATCATGTCTTTCCAACGTTAGATTGTTTCAAAACTAAAGACAAATACCACCATTGGACTCAACGTAGACGAATATACTAAACTCAATACAGTTTAAAGTGACTAGTGGTTAGTTGACTGACTTCAAGGCTTTCAGTAAAATGCTTATAACTCCTGGATGGAATAAGCTAGAAGATATCTTCGCTACTGATTCACTAAATTATTAGTTGAAAGAGGTTTTTTTTTCGAAAACTTCTGGTAAAAATCTATACTAAATTTTCACTTCCTCTACATTTCTCTTTCGAATGGTAAAACTGGCAGATTTCTAACTATTTTTATTCTCGAGATATTCAAAAAATAATAAACTAAATTACATTTTGACACCAACAATAGTAGTGTAATTGGAAAAAAGTTGTGAGAGGGTCAAACTCCTTTTTTAAGCTAAACTCAATCGTCTCGGAGAAGGCTGAAGCTCATCTAACCACGTGTCTGATTACATCATAAAATATTCACTATAAATAAAACAAGACTAGAATTTGTTTTTTATTGACAATAAATCAATCATATTTATCTTTTCTATGTTCTACAACTACAGCTTCTTCCCATGCACCACGTATTGATCTAAATAAATAAAATAACAATTTTACTTTTAATAATAAAACAAAATTCCATTCCTACATTTTAAATTTTTGTAATGAAACAAGCCATAATGGACAAAGAAATGTTAAAAAAATAATAGCTAATATATATAATATAGTACATAATAATGAAAGACGAGATAAAAATATTACACATCCAATGATATGTACAATTGTTAGTAGTGAAAATATACGAAAACTTGATTTCTAAAGAAATAAAAAAAGAAAACGATTCAGTAATTTTTTTCATTAATTATTTTATTTAATTACTTTAATATATTTTCTTAATTCAGACCATAAAGCAAAAACAAGTACAGCTGATGTTACTAAACAAAATGTATGAAATGATGTTGATAAACGTGATGCAAGACAAACAGATGAAAATAAAGCTACACTAAATGATAATGCTTTTTGTACCCTAAAAATATAGCGAAAGAAGAAAAACAACAACAAAAGAGATTAAAAATTATTATTTTTTTCTAAGATCTTTACATTGCTGTTTCAGCTCCATAATCATAAAATATTAAATGAGTTAACATCATTAATGTACTCATTGCATAAATTGTATCTGTACTTATTGTTTTTGTTAATGTAAAAACAACAGGTGATACCATTGAACCAAATAAAAGAAATATTAATAAAGTTTTAAGATTTTCTTGTACTATATAAACAAAAGTTTTAAAATAATTTTTTAATATAAAAACAAAAAAGATAAAAGTTTCTTTGGTTTTTTACATAATTTTATATTAATATGTCTTCGATAAAGAAATAAACCAATAATACCAATTAATGCATTTATAATTAAAATATTTTTTGGATGAAGATTATCATTATCCAAATGAATAAAAAGTATTATAAATAATATTACTCTTAAAAATATAAATAAGAATGATAATAAATATATTCCGTAAATATAATACTTACAAGCTTACTTGTTGAGTTATTAAACCAGATTCAGCTACTGTTGACCAATAAATATGACGATATAATGAAGAAGATATTGAAGAATTTATTTTACTATTCATTTGATATATATGATCATCATCAAAAATTTTAAAATCATGAAGAGATACATCATATAAAACTTTGGGATATTGACTTGACAACATTCTTTTTGTTTTTGAATAATAAATGATTGATTCATCATCGTTGACACATAGATTATTCGTCATTCTGCAGATCTGTTGGTTATGTTTAAATAACCAGTTGATCTTTTGCTGTCACTAGATGTCGCTATATTTCATTCAATTGTGATACTTGCTTATCAAAACTTAGATTGATATTGATACATTGACATATTAGAATATGAACATATACTGAGTACAACAATTATTCAACAAAATTTATTTTCAATTTTTACCGACTGCCGTAATCGTTAGAAAGAATCCAAATAGTGATTTGAATATAGAAAATTCTTTTCAACAAGAATATAAGAAAATAAAAATTATTATCAGATTCTTAAAGATAGGGACTTCAGAAAACCAAAATTCTAGTTTTTCAACACCTAGATCGCATAAATAAAATTTATTAGACTATATAGAACGATAGAGTAAACCATCCTCTACAAAATGAGACATCGCTGAGTTCTCTGCGATGTTTTTTGGCTGAGATACAACAATTTGATTGAACGTCAAAAAATGGTTTTACTAAAGAATATTAGAAAAACCAACTATAAGGACTTCTGTAACGTTGCTGTATCTCAGCTAAAAAATGTCACAGAGAACTTGGAGATGTCTCATTTTTTTAGGGAATTGTTTAAATTATCTAGTCTAAACAAAATTATATTTATCCATTCTTGGTGCTGAAAAACTAGCTTTTTGGTTTTCTGGAGTTTCTGTCTTTGTAAATCTCATAATAATTTTTATTTTCTTATATTCCTTTTGGAAACAATTTTCTCTATGCGAATTACTACATGGATCTTTTCTAACGTTTACAGCAACGAATAAAAATGAAAATGAACCTTGTTGAATAGCTTTCATACTCACTGTTTGAGCCATTTCTTGCAAAACGGAACATACTAACCAGAGATTGAAAACGAACCGAACTCGAACTAATTTTCGAAAAGTGAATGAATGTAGGTAAACGTATAAGAAAAATGATCGATTGAGGTCTCACATGTTTTGATGATAAGACTTTTGTATATATCAGAGATCAAAATGAATAGAAAATTTTCAATTCGGATTCGATTCGATTTAGATTGAGTTGAAAAAAAAAACAATATTATGTAGTTTCACATACCACTCATTTTTCACGATGTTTTTTTTCCTGACAATGACAGTTATCTATCAATTGTGCTAGAATCTATGTATATTTTGAATAATACAGGACTAAGTATCAGTTTGAATATTTTCAAATCTTCATTATTTGATACTGTAGGAAAGCCGAACAGCTTTTAAGAGGAAGCCGTTGATCATCTACTATCGTTAGATAATACTTGAAAATGAATATCGTTGTTCAATAATGAACGTTTTATGGTAAATATTGATTGTACTATAGATAACGAAGACGATAGACGAAAGGACTACTAATATAAGCACATTTTATAGACTAAAATACCGAAAAAAGAAAGAGATAATAGCTATTCTTTGTTAGCGATCATCTTTTATGCAAATCAATCAATCAAACTTTCATGGGACTGTATAACTATATAATAAAGAAAGAAGTCATTATGAACCGAATATGTTAGAAAGGATTTGATACGGCTTCGATCTCTGGTATATATGAATGATCAATCAAATTTATCTAAATTCCCGTTTTGCTTTACTATCATTTCTCGATACAATAACTGATTGTAACCAAATTTTGATAGTATTGTTGAATAATTAATTTGAGTAAGTCATATATGAAAGTAATTTCTGTAGAAATACTCTTCAATCTAACTATTTTTCGTACATTACTCGAAACTATTAAAAAAAAAGAATCTCGTGTGATACGTCATAAGTGATTATTTGAATCGTAATACTCTTTACTGTTTATTTCATTGATATTCGAGTCATGTTAAATCAAAAGATGATTATGCACAATACGAGATTAAGATGACAGTTGTGTCCATTTTTTGTTTATGGAAAATGATGTAGAGACTTACAGAGTCACGTTTTTTTAACTCGAACTCCGAAAATTATTTTCTATAAATTAGCGACAGCTTACGTGTCTGACAATAATATGTAATTTAAGGTCGTATGACGATGATAAAAATACATTTAATGACGAATTTGAAGTCATTGAATAGTGTTGATCTTTTCTTTTGCAACAATCACTTACGAAAATTAATCCAGTGTAAATGTTTTCTTTTGTGTTTTTTTTCTATTGCATGTTATTTCGTTATCGGTGAGCTGTGGAGTTTTTATAATTTACATAATCTCCAACGGAATCGTATTTCAAAGTCCGATGCAAGGCTTTAAAATGAGACCAAGCATTGCTATTTAATTAGTATCGAATTTCTCTATATCCATTTGCTATCTCTCTATATGTTTGTATAACATAAACATAAATTTCGCAAATACCTATCATATAATAAATTATAATGCGTAAGAGAAAATTAATTTTGAATATTATCTTTTACTCCGTTTTACAAGTATATTATTCAAAAAAAAAAAGAAAAAGGAAAAGAAAAGTGAAAGATACATATTCAATATTCATACACACACACACACACACACACACACACACAAACACCAACTACAAATGGTCTAAATGCCGATCTTTCGATTTTCTTCGATATTTTTTTGAAATAGCTATTTGTTGATTATTAGTACCAATAGCACTATCACGTGATGTTAATGCACTTGGTGTACGTCTAGTTTTTGGTAAAGCTGAGTGTTGTTGTTGTTGTTGAAAGACATCAGTTAATTTAACTCGTGGATTTTTATGTGATTGTTGTTGTTGTTGTGTTAATGCTTGATAACGTGATTTAAAAACATGATCAAGTGATTTATTATATAAATGACGTTTATTAGATATTTGACGTCGTTTTATTGCATCATAACTAGTTCCATACGTTTTAACTGAACCTGATATATAACCAGCCCTAGAAATAAATTTGATTACATATAAAGACAACAAAAAAAACAAACAAAATGTATGTCTTATATTCTTACATTTGACTTATTTCACTATGATCAGTTGTATCTAAATTTCTTTGCATATCATTTACTTTAGCTATATCACTCCATTGTTGTGATGTACAAGCAGAATTTTTTATATATTTTGGTTCATTTATACGATAAACAAGTCCTGTTGTTGATAAATCAGGTTCAGTTGCTTGTTTATCATCATCATTAATATCATAATCAGGTTCAGGTAAGCCTTCTTCATCAAAACCTTTTAATTGTTGTAAAACTTTAACTTGTTCAACAGCATCTTCAACATTATCAGTTGCAAAATCTCCACGTCGATGACCACGGCCATTTTTTCCTCTACTTCGATGACCAATTTTTAAATCTGTTGATGCTAATAAATGTAATAATGTTCCATAACGATGCCATAACATTGAAACAAATTGTACAAGTAAAATAGTTGCAAAAAAAACTAAAAATCCAAAACCAAGTGGTTCAAAACGTAATGGTTCATTATGTAAACGTTTTATTGGTATAAATACATAATCACGTATACGTTCTGAAACAAGTTGAAATGAAAATATAATAACAAGCCATAATGTATTAATCATAAAGAATATAAAACAACCATTGTTACGTAGTGATTTAAGATCACAAACCATTTTTTTTTGATGATCTTTATCTTCAACTAATGGATATAAATAACGATCGATTAATTCTCGAAAAAATTTTGTTTCACGCGGATCAAGCATTACAACTTCAGAATCAAGTAATGATTCTTGAAATATCCATGCAGGATTAACTAAAGAACAAAAATAAAACAACATATGTTCTATATTTATTTGGAATAGTTAAAGTTTTCTTTATAAATATATTATTAAATATTGTCATAGAATCGATATTAATGATTTTATTATGAGTCTATCTTTTTCTTCTAATATATTGACTTTTACTCAGATATAACAAAAAAGCGTATCTTTTTACATCGCTCATATACACCACGGATTCGATGTCATTGTTCGAGCATACAAACTACGAAAAGATCTCAAACTTTTACGATAAACTATTCTCATAAAAGCTTCTCTCACGAGAGAACATTCCAAAGTGTTCACTCATTTTCGAGTCGGGACTTAATGCGTCTTGTAGATTTTACTGAACTATGTCTACCATGAAAAAAGTTCGTGATCATGGCTTGTTTCTGAGGAGATCCAACCCTTCTAATGAATTTAGGCTGTAGGACCCGACCTTTTGCAGCAAGATCATGTTTTCAAACTTCAATCTGAAATTAGATAAAGATATCAATTAGAGTAGCTTGCATAAAAAATTTCAGGACATTTGAAGTAAGCCTCTCCAAGATACGGAACTTTTAAAATATAGGGTCTTTTCTATAGATACTATGTACAGCATGTTTATTTTTGAAAGCTTTTATATTTCAGAGAGACTAAATATCGTCTTGTTGCACATATTGAATGCTCCACTTAAAATTCACTAAAAATGTTCAACCTCTTCAGAAACAAACTATAGGAACGAACTTTTTTCATGATAGACATTGTTCAACAAGATGCACTAAATCTTGACTTAAAAACAAACAAACATCTGAGAATATTCCCTCGTCAGTTCAAAGTTTCGAATCAAAATTTGAAAATCATTTTTCCTAGTGTTTCTGAGAGAAAACCATAAAAATGCAGTATCTCGACAGTAATAACCTAAAGATCCGAACACTTTTTAGAACATTCATAGCTCATTAGAATTAACATAATGCATATAGTCTCGACTCAAAAGCGATTAATCAGTTTATGAATTTCTCTTGTAAGAATTACTAATTCGTCGATCGTCACTCTATGTTTATCATGATATGTCTAACTATAAGTCTTCAGTATCGTACAAATTGTGGTCTTCATCTTCATGTTTTAATGATCTATATTTTTATTTTGATTCTTTTTTTTTGTTTATTGAAAGTTTTATAAAGAAATTTGTGACTCTTTGAAAAAAATATTTAGTTAAATTGATCATGAAAATCTTTACCTTAAATTCTTATTTCTTATTTCTATTAA